AATTCAAAATCTATCCCTGGATTAAAGCACGTGTCCTGACGTGCTTCGGGTCCGTATACACAATACAAGTGATTATTTGAAACCCCATTTGAAAGCCTATTATTGATTTGAATGACAGGAAAAAGGTTGTGGAGTACGACCAGATGGTAGTGCCGACCGGCGCGCCGAACATGCATTTCCAATCGGATCAGTTGACTAAACAAAACACCGATTTTTCGGCCAGAGAGCCATACCATCAGTCGTCTACCTCTCAATACAAGGCAAACAATTTGACAAACAATTAAAGTAATCAATCAATCATTAAATTGTTATCCATTTCTTAAGTCATTATTTAAAAAAATTAATCAGAAGTTTATTGTTAAATATTAAGTGTTTTTTATCTAAAAATATATCAATTTTACAAAATATATATATCGTTGACATAAATGTATTTAAAAACTGGTTTTATCTTCATTAAATAAATTAATAAAATTACGACTGTCTTAAACAATACAATACATATTATTTTATTTTAAAAAATTACCTTGGTCATTACAGGGCGTATATTTAACACTGTATAATATATAGAGAATAATTTTTAGTTTGTTTTTAGATTTTAGCTTGTTAAAGTATAAAATTTGTGGTCAAAATTATAATCAAGTATTATAATTTAACCATAATGGTATAGCGACCAGTAATACAAATCATAAGTTAATTTTAAAATCATTGTCTGTATTGTCAGATACTTAATATTGTGGGTCTTATTTGATTGAATAAATGGTAAGTCTATGGCATAGACTTTATGGTATGATTTAATATCAAGTGAAGTAAACATACAAAACCAAAAACCCCTCCGGCTTTGCATCAAACAAACACTTGTTTCATAGACTCGAAGGTTATCCACATTTTCTCAACAACAGTAATTATTACTGAATAAAACGATATGAAAACGATTGTAACAAATAGTAAACATATTTTGAACGACAATTCCTTTAGTGATAAAAGTGGTCGTAAACTGTATGTTAACTATAATTACTTTTTACAGTATAACCACTATTAATCTCACATTTATGGAATCTAAATGTGACCATATTCATGTTTCTTATTGTCACCATTGTATAATAATTATACTATAATTCATACCAGTACCATAATTAGGGATGAACATTTCAGTGAAATATTTAAATAAATGTTGAAACTTTAGCCCAAATTTTTATAGGAATGTGAAATTTTCGTGTTTTTTAGTTAAAGACTTTTAATAAGCTGAAATATACAGCAATGTAAAGGGTGTCCCAATGAATTTGTACTATTTGATAGCTTATATTCTTTAAACAAATTATCCCTGATTATAACTATTTTCCTTTTCGATAAGTTATGGAAATCTAATAGAATTAACTAAATATTAATTGTAAGATTTATCATTTAAAACAAGTTAAAAAAGTTATTTGGTTTTCTTAATATCATATTTTTAATTTAGTAAAAATTTAGCAAATTCTTAAAAATTCTGTTATTTGTTGTGCGAATATTTTACTTAAAAAATATTTTTAAAGTTTGATATTACAAAATAACGATTAATTTACGACAAATAACATGTTCTGATTAGCATGTAAATATTTTTTGTAGACAATAATAGTTAATTTAGTTAAGTTACAAAAATTAGTCATTTATTTAGTAAATATGTGCAACAAAGTAGAGTGGTTGAAAATTTAGCCTAACGATTCAGAAAGACCCTAAATATGGCCTAAATTTTACCATAACATGTCTAACCATACAATTTGTCAATTCATTGCAATGTATTGTACATACATTAGTGTAATCATGTTTTAAGCTCTATTAATATACATGTACTGTATATATCATTTAAAGTGGATGTGTTTAACCACCATGCTTACCATGGTCATTGTAATTGTAATATATGGCACTTTATATGGCAATTATAGTACAATCACTTCATTCTTATTCTACAATTCAATGTTCATTCAATGCCACAATTGATCCCTATTTATGAGCTAAAAACCTAATCTATGTTTCGATGCAATCATTAAATTGAAAATAAAAATATTTGTGTCATTTAAACCTCAATAACAATACATGTATTGACAGAAAAATGTAAAAAACAATTTATGTTTACAATAAGTAAACGTATAATCATTTCGAATAACTCTATAAAACTATACGATATTTATAAATAGTTTTTAACCTTTATTTAAGTCAACACTTTATCACTTGTTTACCAGTTATTAGAATCAATACATGACTCAAACATACGGTTCGAACCCTTAATAGGCAGACAATTATATAATTGTAATTCTGTATCACTTTGACCACGTTTTGGCCAACCCTTACACCCCATACCCCGCACTACCCAACAGTTAACCTATGACTCAATTAACGAATAAATGCCACGTTTTCTCAACCTTTCATTGTTTCCCCCAAAACCCACGCATTTCCCGTTCGCACCTCTACTCCAATGCTTTACATTTCAAACATTTCAACAATACTTTATTAAATGTCCAAAAAGTGATTGTTTTTCGATTAGTCCTCAAATTAATTGACATTTCATTACTAATCAAATCAATGTTAAGACAAATGGACTCTAAATGAGCACTAAATGAGTGAACCATTGATTGCGTAATACTTGATATGAATAGAGGATAGCATTGAAGGCATTGAAAGGCATTCGAAGGCATATTTGGCCACAATTTCGAGACAGACGTCACACAAACGTTGCGTTGCTTTCATTGTAAGCAACACTAGATGTGAGCACACATTCACTTCCCGACCCAAACCTATCGGCAACAATACACGCGTTTGCCATAAAACCACTCAATGGTTGCCAATCATTGGTCACCGCATTCCAAATGGCATACCATTCGAATGTGTCATTCCATTCGTCCAATGGTTAACAATATTATGGGTAAAAATGGGAAAATATGTTGCGATCCGATGGGCGGGTCGTGCGTCACGTCTAGTGTGGCCCCCATTGGCTGCGATTGGCTGTGAGTGTGAATGACGTGAATAACTGGAACTCTATATAAGCTTTGTTCGCGAGAATAGTCTCGAAAGTTGAGACACAAGTTGGCTGTGAATCGCACAAAGCGTTCGAATGCTGTCTCGAGTTAAGTGCGCAATAAGTTTGTCGTCGATTTTGGGACCGAATTGTATGTCTTCTGGCATTGGATTCGAGTCTCGAATCGAATGATAGTTTCGGTGAAGGAATCGAATGAATGGAATGAATGACTGAATCAATGAATGGGTTTGAGAGACACTATGCGTGAAGA